AAACTTTATATATGAATCTCATGTTAATATGGGAAAAATCTAAATTACAACACACCTTAGGATTTGGATGAATAACTCAGTTTCATAAAATCTGTAACTTATGAAACCAGCCACAAATCCACATCCTGTGTTTTTTAGTAGGAAAGAAAATGAGATCAAAGATAAACTGAAATGTTTTGTTTATCTTTGGTTAAACTCTTATTTCTATTATACCTATTATGTTACCTTCTTTTGTGTTTTTAATAGAATACTTTCTACATTTTGATATCATTTCATTTTCTATTTGAAAGGGAAACATCTACTAGGACGTTTTAAACACTCCATATAAAGTCATCTTAATAAAATTGTTTTACTTTGTGTTGGGAGTTGTTGTAAGTTTCGCCTTCATTAAAAGGACTTCCTTTTCTTGCCTTTTATAACTTGGTCTGTAAGTCTGCCCTAACAGAGGAAAAGAGCAAAGTGCAACAAAAATATATGCATATAGCTTTACATTTCCATCCTCTACTATTTAGTCTGCCTTGTTAAAACTGCCCAAGTCACAATAGGAAAATCTTTTTTGTTGAAATGTATCATAGCTACTCTATATTTTGTTTGTTTAACCTTTTTTTTTAAAAAAAATATTTATTTGAAACTCAGAATTACCATAGAGAACACACAAGAGGGAAAGAGACAGACAGAATAGAGAGAGATCTTTGATTTGCTGGTGACAACTCAAATGGCAGCAGTGGCCATGACTGGGCCAGGCCAAAGTCGGGATCCAGAAGTCTTCTCTAGATCTGCCGTTTGGATCTCCTGTACATAGGCCATCTTTGGTTGCTTTAACAGTTGCATTAGCAGTGGGGGTTATGCCTACTACCCATGTTGGGTGCTGACATTGCAGCTGATTGGCTTTACCTGCTACTCCTGAGTCCTGGCCTCGCTTCTGCTTTTCTTTTTTTACAGGTTTATTGATTTATTAAAATTTCCAGCTGCACAGAGAGAAGGAGAAATAGAAAGTTTACTCTCCTTTACGCTGCTGATTCACTCCTGAATTGGTTGGACTGGCCAGGGCTTTACCAATCCAAAACCAGGGGCCAAGAGCTTTATGCAGCTCTCTCATGCAGGTACCGGGGGCCTAAATACTTGGGCCATGTTCCACTGTTTTTCCTTGGCTACTAGCAGGGAACTGGATTAAAAATGGAACAGCCAGGACATGAACTCAGCACCCACATGGGATGCAGGTATCATAGGCAGCAGTTTAACCACTATACACATTGTCAGCCAGTCCTATTTTTGCTTTTAGGATGGTGTCATCAGTTTTCTATAAAGGGTTTAACTGAAATGTAAGTTGTAGTGGGTGTTATTGGTCCTTCGGTAATGGCGATGGTGATGGAGTTGCTGTTTTTTCAGTCAGAGACATTCTTCTCTCAGGCTGGTGAGTGGTTTCTAATGAAACAGTTTTTGTTTTGTTTTGTTTTGTTCTGTTTTCCTATGGCTATACACGGTGTAGAAATCCTACTGCATTTTGGCCAGATTTTCTGTATTTCTTGACCTGTAGTGCCAATACCACAACCTCTGCCCATACGGTTTATATTTACCTGCTTCTAATCCAGCTCCTGCTAATGTGCCTGGGAAATCAGTAGATGTTGACCCAAGTAGTTAGACTCCTAACACTCATGTGGGAGACCAGAATGAGAATCCTGGCCTCAACCAAGACCAACCACGATTCTTTTAGCTATTTGAGGAAGTAAACCAGCAGATAGAAAGTTTCTTTCTCTCTTTATCTCCCTGTCTTTCTCCTTAACTTTGCCTTCCTTGTAAATAAAATTAAGCTGAGCAATCATTTCTATATCCATTTATGTGACACATGTTATCTAATTCTAAGGAGACTTGTCCATGTTGCTACAGGACACCTTGAAAAGTGGCTCCTTCTGGATTTATGATGGAACATGCAAATCCACCTGCCATCCAGTAGATCACCTCTTTTCCCTTTGGGGATCTCCAATCTTAGAGAGTAGCACAATTTTCAGACATATGACCCCCAGTCTCATCTCTCTGGCTCTACTTCTGGTCCCAGCCTCATGACATTGAGAGTATCATCAATCCACATAGTGCAAATTTTAGGATTTGCTCAATAAGGCACAGCCCCACGATACATTAAATGAGCAATGAAGCATTTAGAATATTCCTGTTTCCTCCAACCTGTTTTGAAATTTGTTCATCTATGGTGATAAATAATGCTCAGAATCTATACAAAAATATTATTTTAAATAATTTGTAACAGTGTTTCAAAATGATGGTCTTTATTACAACCCTTTTACTAAGATGTAGAAAAGGTTATTCAATGTCTAAGAGAATCTATTCATCTTTTCCCTTCTTTCCTCTTCTGTACCTTTTAATATAGTTCCTCTTTCTTGCTTATGTTTTTATTGTAAAAATGCAAAATGTAATGGGAACTAGAGTTATGTGATACTGAAGAGAAAATATGTTATTAAGAAAGCACTTTAGCAAGTAAAACCTAGAGAAATTGAGTTCCTACCACATACCTATGTGTGAGACCTTGGTTTGCTTCTTGATATTGACTCTGATACAACTTTGACCCCATTGAGAGCTTTTGGGGAGTGAATCAGTACGAGAAGGTTCTTTCTCTTTGCCTCTATGTCTTTTTCTCCACCTCTTAAAAAATACATAAAATAAACTAGCATGGCTTCAAGATCATTTTTTCAAAGGTACCATATCAGCTAAAGACATTCCTCTTGACATTACCTTATGTACCTGCGGTTTCTTACCAGAATATTCTTTTATGACACCAAGGTGCTATTTGGTATACCACTCAATAATGAGCAAACAATACTCCACTGAGGCATCTAATGTTGGACACACTGTACTTTTTATCTTCATCATGTAATGACCCCAGGTTTTCTCTGTGTGTTGTTACTCTTGTTGTTCTAGTTAACCATAATCCTTTTGTGTGATTTTGTGTGCCTCTTAGTTTGTCCTTTGTAGTGTAACAGACACAGAGCACTAATGGGTATCTGCTGATGTAATGATCAGTAAAAAATGCTGCTTAATTTAATGTAACTGGATTATACTTACCAATTATCTCCTCCCCTCAAGAAAGGAAGAAAGAACCAAAAATATTTTCTGATTATTATGACCATTTGGCTTGTTACGATCTGCACTAGAACAAAAGACATGGGAACTGGACCAAGTAGCTCCTATCCATAAAGACTGTTTTTTTAACAAGTGAATATTTTTATAGTATACAATAACCACAACCTATTCTTATCTATGGTCACTAAACCATAAAATTTTCAAATACATGCAGAAAAGGAACTGTTGTACCTAGCCATAACCACAGGCAAATGCTATATTTGCCAGTTAGAGAAGCAATTGTTTGGGGGAGCTTTTTAACTAATTTTTTTTAAGTATGTGCTTTAGTAATCAATATTTGATCTGACGTTTGTTGCCAATGCAACTAAAGTAGAATTGAAGTGAGTATCATAGAAGTTTGACAGGCAATCCTAGTTTGGTTTAGTTGGCTCTATCCTGTCTGTAGTTGAAGTGATTTTTCAAGTACTGAGCTTGTTTTAAATGGGTAATAGTCTTAATGTAGGAGCTTGTTAATGAGGTGTTCTAAGTAACTGATTCTAGTCAGTTGTGGTTAGTCTTCTTATTTTACCCTAATTTGCTCAAGTACACAGATCCCCAAGTACAGAGTTGCCATTTATATTATTTATTGTCAGTGTACTGAGTGATTTTTCTTAAATTCATTTATCCTTATTTAATTCTCTTAATTCTTTAGAGACATTTATTTATGTATTTTGTTAGAAAATCAGGAATATACAAACATAAACAAAGATTAATTTCCTTGTCTATATTTCAAATACCATCAATAGCCGTGCATGGACCAGGCAAAAAGTGGAAACCAAGAACTCTATCTAGGTCTCTCATGAGTAGCAGGAACCAAAGTACTTGAGCTAAAACCTGCCATGTTCCAGGGTCTGCATTAGCACAAAGCTAAAATCAAAAGCAGAATTACAGCTCCAACATAAGCATTCAGACATAGGAACCATTGTCCCAAGGGACATTTTAAACCATTCTATTACACTGCCACTCTTTTTCAAGTTTTAAAATGGTGGATCTGAAAAGAGTTGGTCACACAATTTGGTAACATTTAAAATCTTAAGAGCCAGTTCATACAGGCATTGATTGCAGTTCGCTATAGATATTACCTTACTGTTAGCAATTTGTCTTAAATCTTTGAGAAAGCATGATGCAATGAATATGTTCATCCTCATCAGAAAGACATCTAAAGTTAATGCTAAAATAAATTAGGTAGAGTTTTCTTGAAATAGTTTCAAAACCAATGGATTTGGTCTAATTGTTGGTGTAATGGCCCTTTACTTTCTGTATTCATTTTTGCCAAATTAGTTTTTAAATCAAGAGTTGAATTATAAATGAAGCTGCTTTGTTAAGTACAACAGAAAGTGAATTTGGTGATTTGTGAAGTTTGAGACCATATCGGTATTCCAAACGTAACTTGGCTGTTGCTATATAATTAAAAAGCAATCACTAGACATTGTATGAATTTTAATTCCATTGGTAACTTGATTTAAAACGACATGGTAATATTCACCTTGGCTAAACAGATGAATACTTAGACATGATACTATTTGTCGCTCTTGCTAAAGTAGGTGCATAGTGAAAAAAGCAGCCCCTGCAACTATCTGCTCTTTCAGAGAATTGAAGAAAATGTGCCTTTGGTTTTACAAGTGCCTTAGTGAGCATGCAGTTACTGTTACTGTTTTGAGAATACCTATTTAACCCAGGAGTCATGGTTCTGTAACCTTGCAAAGTGTCGCTGAAAGCATGTGTGGGATAGGCTGGGGGGTTATTTTAAGAAAATTTGAAGATTATTCTTAACCTTGTATAAACTTCAAAGTAACTGATAGCGTCATTCTTAATGTTTCCTAAGTGCAGAATTTCAGAGTTGAACAAGAGGCCTCTAATGTGAAGATACATCTGCATTAAACCCGGAATCACTGGTCAGTAATATTTGGAAAGCAAATCTTGGAAAAATTAAACATTTGTGAAATTCCATCATGGAAATCAAAGAAGAAGGAACATCAGAAGAAGGCCAGCACTTTCTTCCCACAGCCCAGGCAAATGATCCTGCAAACCCCCAGTTCACCAGTAAGCATGTGTGCCCCTCTTTTGTAGTTCTCTGAAGATGCAAACTGAGTGGATGGAATCATTAAGTAAATACATGTGTATTCATAGACCTTGGGTTCTAACAGATGACATACGTAAGAGTGCTGAATCTGTACTTCTCTTTTTGATGTTGAGTGTACAAGAGATGTTTCCTATATAGTAAGATAGGCGATGGTCCATCAAAAGTGAAATATCAAATGGTAAGATAGGCGATGGTCCATCAAAAGTGAAATATCAAATAGTAGAATCAAGGTTCTTTAATATGTACTAACATACTAATAAATTCCTTCTAAACACATGCCCTGGCCACTATTAAATTTTTTTTAAATGTCTTCTATTTGAAATTTACAGATATTAATGTGCAAGTGTTTTTTGGAACATAGACATTTTTGAAACCAAAAGCACTTGATCTGAAAGCACTAGGAAAAAATTACTGGATTGCAATCATAGACTTCCTGTTGTACCTGAGAGCACTAAGTCACATAATTAGAAAAGGATTGGAGATTTGGCTGAGACTTACATTTGCACATTATAATTGGTTTTTATGCCATTTAAGTAATTAAAAACATTGGAAGACGTTTAAAATTCCAGGGTACAGATTTTATTGTTTAGTATGAGTTGTGTCTTTTCAAGAGATTCTTGCGGCCCAATTATTTAGCACTGGTAACTATGTGCCTAACCTCCTTGTTTGATTTATGTTACAAAAATAATTTTTTGAAAATAGTATTGGATGGGTGAATGTTTGAGAAATGTTTTTGTCAGGGCTTACAGCAGAGTTAATTGTTAAATAACCTTTTAAAGAATTCAGACTCTTTGAAGTTCACAAAAACCTACCTAATGACTGTCACTCTAACTGCTCTTGAAAGTCTGAAATTGTTAACCTCAGCATTGTTAAATGTCAGCAGGAGGGAGAAAACAGTTATCTTGGATTAAAAAAAAATTAAACTCTGAGAATAAAAATGATTATTTCATACAAATATATGGCTTTGCAATGTTTAAGTGACCAAAGGACAGTAATTTACCTGACATCTGATCAATGCACAAGGAAAGAAAAACAAGGCAAGGATTTTTATAATATTCTTACAGTTATTGACAAGTGGCTTACTTTACCATACCTCTTTAGCTCATGCTGAGCTGTCACAAAGAACATCTCATGCATACACCCCGTCCTCATTACTTCGTTTGAGAAAAGCTTTTACCCCAGCCCATATGTGGTCTTCAGACTGCCCTCTACCACATAATCAATTATTTTAACCAAATCACTGGACCTTCTAACCATTCGGTGTTCCCATTTTCATGTTCTCAGATTGGTTTCCACCCAAATTGACCTTGTTTATCTGTGTTGTTTATCTGTGTTGTTGTTTCTAAGAAAGGAAATGCATAATAGGATGTTATTTTGACCTGTGAATAAGTTCACAGCATATTCAACACCATATGATTTCAACCATAACCCAACTAATCCATTTAGTTCATGATTTATTATTCATGGCAGATCAGAGCGATCTTGAAAGGAGGGCCCTTTGAGAACAGCATTTGGTGAGGTGGTTGTTTTTGAAGTCTTAGTATGTCTATCTGCATCCAAAAGAAATCAATACAATGAAGAAATATGTTTTGTATTTGTTATGGCTTATGAAAAATATTTCTCACTTTCCTTATGATTATAGAGCTAAGTAAAGTAACGAAATCTTTAACAATATCTGTTTAGTTCTGCTAGAGATATTATGCCTTCCACTGAGAATTAGTTACTTTTAAGCTTTATTGACCAAATTTTAGTGAAATATAGTAAAAATATTGACATATTCTTGGTAATGAGTTTTTCTTTTTAATTTGCACCTGTTATCTATAGGTATCCAGAAGACTCCAAATGAACCACAGTTAGAATTCATACTTGGTAAGGAATTACACATTATTCATATCAATAAGTATAATGAGAATGTATATAGTAAACAGTGAAAGCATTATATATTTATAGACTTTCTAAAAAGGTTATACATCTGAAGTCGACACTATACTATAGATGTTATTTTCCAAAATTTGTAAGAAATAGCTTGTACTATGGTGCAGATTGATTTAGTCCCCAACATCAAGTGGCTCCTAGTAAGACACTTTTGCATCTCATTGAAGTCTTCTCACCATAGATCCCATGCTTGGCACTCATTCTGATACAGTGCTGTGTTTGGTTACTAATTTCTAGAAATCTATGGATATCTATTTTTTTCTCCTTGGGCTGGAGACTGGCAACAAGTAGAGCCTCACTTTGTGTTGTTATGTTATTACAAAGTTCTTATTCCACTTTCTGTTTAAAAATACTCCTTATTCACTCATACATGTTGATTTTCTAGAGAGAGACTTGACATTTGGAAACTGAACATTAAATTCAAACTTTGACTTGATTTAGCTACTCTGAAGAACTGGCATGTGTCAAGAAAAGTAATTTTTTAAGGGCTCTATTTTAATTACTCATTCTGAGACTGGCCCACTGCTTCACTGGTAGGTGGAAACCACTTTGTATCTGATTCAAATGCATGGTTACAAAAAATGTCAAAGGAAAATTATTGCTCAAAAGTATTTAATTAAGGTAAAAATGTGGCTTATTTATATTCCTACAATTTTTTCCCTCTTAAAGTTCTGAGATATTTTGAAAGGTCACGCTTTCAAAATAATTTCACAGATCAACACATATACCAACATATGCATATGCAGTTTCACATACTGAGACCAGATATGTGTTACCATCCACATTTTTATACCTATAAAAACAGTTTCTCAAATTTTCTGATGTCAAATTAAAATACAAGTATGCTATTGTAGTGGTTTTTAGTGCTTTGAAGTCCTGATTGTTTTAGGAACTTATTTTTTTTTTCATTCATTACTTTTCAGTTTATATCTTTTTCTAAATACTTTGGTTTGAAGTATAACTTGAGGCAAAAAGTATGTGATGTGTATTTTGACAAACATTTTTAACAATTATTTATTTATTTATTATTGAAACACTGGATTTACAGAGAAGAGGAGAAACAGAAAGATCTTCCATCTGTTGGTTCACTATCCAAGTGGCCGAAACAGCCCGAGCTGAGCTGATCTGAAGTCAGGAACTAGGAAGTTCCTCCAGGTCTCCCATGTGGGTGCAGGGTCCCTAGGCTTTGGGCCATCCTCCATTGCTTTCCCAGGCCACAAGCAGGTTGCTGAGAGGGAAATGGAGCATCTGGGATTAGAACTGGCATCCATATGGGTTCCCGACACATATAAGGCAAGGACTTTAGTTAGCCACTAGGCTACCGCGCTCGGACCTGAAATTTTTTTTTTAATTAAACTTATACCTGAAAGATACTGTAAAATAAGGGTGTTAGAATCTCCTTTGTTCCACAGTGTTGAAAAATAGGCAGAGTCATGAGACTTGGAATTTAACACCATTAAAGCCACACTAGTTTTCCTAGTGAATGTTCAGATGGTGTTTGATACAGAGAATTTTCAGACGGGTAACTGAGGGGCTGAAGGAAGGTCAGACACCTCCTGCCTCACGCTCCACATTCTGGCTACTTCATTCATCATCTACCAGTGTTCATTTCCAAAGGAAACACACCTTTTACATTCAAAAAGATGCCCTGAAAAGTTCAGCAACCACTGTGTGTGAGCCAAGGACCAGTCTTCTGTTTCAGTTAAAATCCTCTCATCCAAACAGCTAACTGTACACTTTCTGCTTAAAAACCCAGTCAAGTTCAGAAGCAGTTCTGTCATCATGTGTGTATCTTGTTTTGAATCAAAAAATTAAGAGGCCACCATCAAAAGTATTTATTCATCACAATATTTCTCTAGTTTAGAAAATACTCAGTTTTCTCTCTATTTTTGTTTGAAATTTGTGCCAGGATTCTTACTCATAGATAATTTTATTTTATCAGATGGTAATAAATATCTGACAAGAGTGCAAATGTTTACAAAAGCAAGTTATCTAGAGTCTTCAGGGAATGATCTTTTATGTGTGTGCAATTTATTTGACAGAGAGAGAAAGAGTGCACTAGCACCCAGCCTTAGGTTCATTCCTCAGATGCCTGCGGCATCCAGTGCTCGGTCAGGTGGAAATTAGGAACTGGGGATTCCTTCTACGTTTCCTACATGGGTAGCAGGGTATACCACTCACATGGACCATCTCTGGCTGCCTCTCAGGGTACATTAGGAAAAGCTGAAGTCAGAGGACACTCCTAGCAGTCATCTTAACTGCTAGGGCAAAGTCTGCCCACCTTCACTCCCAGACCTCCCTAGAATTGTGTTCATGCTCCAGGAAGAAATATCCCCAAACCATTATGCTTATTGGTACTTGAACATACTTAACCGTTCCATTTATTGAAGAATTTCTTAAAAAAAAATACTCTCTGGATGACAGCACAGCTAATCTGTCAGATTTAACTGTACTAGCGAATATCAAAGAGTTCATAGAAAAATCAAATTTAATGATAATTGCATTTCCACTAACTTTTTAAAGTTCCCTAATATATACGTATCACCTTTTTTTCTTTTGAGTTTTCTTAATCCCATAAATTCGTTTCTACTAAAGAGTAAATAATTAGTATTCACTTCATAATGAATGATAGGGAACAATCACATTAACATAGCTTTAATTCTGGTTTGGAATTGGGCATATTTATGCCATCGGAGGCAAAATAATAAATTAAAGAAGTAAAGCAAGGTAGAGGATTTTTTCCACTTAATTTCCTAATTGTGTTTTTGATAACTTGATTCTCTAAATTGAGGATTTTAATAGTCTGAATTTTTAAATTGGGGAAGCAGCGTGTTGTCATGTTTTGTTAGTTGTCAAATTGCTCTTTGTGCATTATTTTTCATGGAGGGTTTGCTTTTGCCATTTTTGTGTACCAATATAAAATTGTCTCTTGCAGAATTTCCTTGCAAGATCGTTATTCAAATAAGTGAGGTTGGATTTGTTCAATTAGGTAAATGAGTGATTAAACATGTTTTGCTAACATAAGACGTAGAGATATATTAGAAAAAATGAGTAGATTACATCATTTGTTATCTATACCCATATTTCTAATGGCTGGCTGCATTTAAATTAAATAATTCATCCTTACAATTGTGTATCTGGCTCAACTTACGTTGCTTTTTTTTTTCCTTGAAAGTTTTGATACTTATTTTTCAAAGAATGAAGCAGGTAAAAAGTTGAAAGAACTGAGTTTATGTTTCAACAAAAGTTTTCATATCAGTAAAGCTCACATTTAAAAATAAGATTATTTCTTTAAAATTTGGGCATATTTTATTCTTCATACCCTTGTGGATTAAGTATGGACAAATATTGATCTTGAAAATTATATACAAGAAATTTCTATGATTTGTTTAAAAATCATTTACCTTGAAAATTCTCATAATGTTGAATACCCTATGCCTACGCTTATTATCTCCAGAGTCAATAGGATAAATATTTATAGAACCCAACACGGTAGCCTAGTGGCTAATGTCCTCACCCCTGAAGCACCGGTTCTGATCCTAGCAGCCTCATTTCCCATCCAGCTCCCTGCTTGTGGCTTGAGAAAGCAGTCAAGGATGGCCCAAAGCCTTGGGACCCTGCAACCGCATGGGAGATCTGGAGGAACCTCCTGGCTCCTAACTTCAGATCAACTCTGGCCATTGTGGTCACTTGGGAGGTAAATCATAGGGCAAATGATCTTCCTCTCTGTCTTTCCTACTCTCTGTATATCTACCTTTCCAATAAAAATAAATCTTAAAAAAATAAATATTTATAAGAACAAGTTTCTACATTTTCATATATATATACCACTTACATATGAGAAATCAAGAATGATACAGAACTGTGAAATACTTAAGATAAAATGGCACACATGTTTACATGTGATTCTTATGTACCTTAACTCTATGAAGTCATGTTCTTAAAATTAATTTATACCTTGATGACTGATACTCTATAGATGTCAACTGCTCAGGTGAGAGGTGTAATAAATGACACATTTTGTGGATTGGTTACAATAGAAAAGGGAACACTCAGGCTAGTGTGAAATCTCTAATGATGTAACTCATTGACTTAATTTTTGGGAGGAAAGGTAGGGAAAAGAAATGGATTCAAATGGTGTTACATTTTACAGGGACAATATCAGAGTAACTAAATAGTGTTTTTGAGGCGAATACACTTGGCTTCTTTGGGGAAGAAGAGTCATTTTAGATTCAAATTCAAAGGAAAATGTGCCCAAAGATGCATATTGGAGATGTAGGCATAGATTTGATAATCAGACATCCTTAACCTAAGGCTCAAGGGATTTTCCAAAAAAGAGATAACAGATTACCAGCTGATATTTCAACAGCAGGTATTAGGATTAAAAAGAGGTAATTCAGTTACTGGCTTACTTAGGCATGATACCAAGTTACAAGTTGATCTTCCAAAACCAGCCACGTGAGAAATGGCTGGATAGCGCTAAACCATTTGCTGAGCTACTAGAAAACTCAGACCCCAGTAGCTGAATTCTGAGGTAGGAGAGATGCTGAGCCATGCTTCTTCTGATTTCTTCTCTTCCAGCACCTAGGTGTTGAATCAAACCTGGGGATTGGTGCTGCTGGGGCCCCAGTGAATAAGGGGAAGAAGGGGAGATAAGGAATTTGATATCTGCTGACTTTGCAAGATTTTGTCTTATGAAGCTGTTTTATCTTTTGACAGTGTGTTTCTTTGTGGAATTTTTTTTTTTGTCAAGAATTTATTTCCTTTTTAACATGTACTTACTCTTCCTTGGAAGGTTTTCTTGGTTCATAAAATGGAAGTAATCTGAGATTCAAGTTATGTAACAGAGCCTTTATTATTTAGTTTTATCTAAAATTGATAAACCTTCATCAACTGCTATAAATTTATATTAGAAAAAAAACACAGGTGAAAAC